CTGCCTCATCCAAGGTCACCGCTGGCTCACAAAGCGGGCCTTTCAGTAACATCAGGGAAGCAACCGCAGCCGGGCGCCAGCCGCTCCAACAGCATCATTTGATTAAAATGCTCACTCCCGGTGTCGCTTGGGAAGCGGCGGTCAGGCCAGTGCACTGGGTCCCCCAGACACAGGAAGCACACCTCCAGGAGGGCCCCCCACACACAGGTTGGTGCACCTAGGAGCACAGGCAAGCAAAGACCATCAGAGGGAGGTGATCTGTCCACACACTCGGCTCATCCGGCAGAGCCCCCCTCTGCCGTGGGGGGCACACAGATGGCGCGGCACGGGCAACCCGGAGACGTTCTGCCCGCCTCCTCCAGTCTCCAGCGGAGGGGCTCGGCACTCACGCACCTCTGGAGCGAGTGGAGATGTCCATGGCCTCTACCACCTCCTGTTCGGTTTTTCTCTCCTCTTCCGCCAAGCTGAAACAGAGCAGAGGATGGCCGTGGTTAGGACGGCTAAGAACCGGCCCCAGGAGGCACCCATGGAGAAGCTCCAAACACAAACCCACCTTGGTGACCAGCCCCCAACTTTTACGCCGCGGGTAAGGCAGGGGACCAAGCCCGCTTCAGTCAAGGCCTCTGCGAGGGAGCCTTTTTTTTTAAAGGTTGTTCGCTTCTTCAAATCAAATTACTAGCCCAGTTGTCTGGAGGTGAAAGGCAGCATTTTTTAAGATACACAATTACAATCTCACACCCCCCCACCCCCAGGCCAATGAGAAGCCAGGCCTTTGAGTAAACACGTTTCTAAATGTTACTGCAAGGCAGACGAGGCAGATTGGAGGTATGCTGTAGGGTGTACCTACCCGATTTCTCATTCCCCAGACCTCCACTACCCTGAAAGCTGACAGCCTTCCCAGGAGGCCAAGCAACAGCCGCCCCCCAAATTCACAGATGTTAAATCACAAAGTTGGGTGTTTTTTGTCCTTTCCTTCAAAAATACCCAGGCTAGAAGCAAAAGGCCTGCCTAGTCTCAAAGCATTCGCACAACCAGCATTTCACCCAGGAATGCTAAGCTGTGTCGTTTGCCCCCACCACAAAAGTGGAATGAGGAAGGGCTATTGAGAAGACACAGGGGAAGAGCCGGGGGCTGCAGAGACAAACTGGGAAGACAGACCCTCTGGGCCGGGAAGGTCATCCACACAGAATGGCCTCCCCTCCTCTCTGTGAGGCAGGGCGCAGGCCACATGGGCTCACAGGCACACAGCCCCTCCCAGGCCTCCAGCAGCAAGCTAAACAAACCAAGGTGCAAATTGTTTGAGGTGCTAAAACTTTCCCAAACATCCAGACCAGGCCAAAGGGAGAAGAATAGGGCCAAGACTCCAGATGCAATTCTGAACCAGAAGAAACGGGAACTATCAGTGGGGATGGCTGGAATTTTCCATGGAGGAGCCAGCAGAGCGAGCACAGGAAGGAGGCTGGGGAGCACACAGAGGAGGAGAAAGACCAGTCTGGGGCAAGACAAGGCAAAAGGCAGACTCCAACCCGGCAACCCTGGGGCCACCAACATGGGGGTTCGAGGAAGGGGTGTGAAAGGGAGGCTGTGTTTGTGGTTATTGGCAGGAGAGGATCTGCAGCCAGACAGAGACTACGGCTCAGAATTTAACTCGGTGCTTGAAGGCCTCTCCAATCTAAGGATAACTAGTACCAGGAGGGGAAAGAAGGCCAAGTTGAGGTTTACATCCGAATGTTCACACCCGTAAGTCCTGTGATTGGGAAACCAATGAACAACAGCACTTGCCCTGTATCTATAGACACAAATCGTCGAAGAAACAACTTGAAAGTTGTCAGTCAGCAAGGGTTTTCATCTGAAGCAAGCAGCCTGCTAAATTTAGACGCCTCCCTCACACGAAATAAATAACACGCCGGTGATGTGAAGGTGCTCTTCCAGCGCAAAGTGAAGAGGACAAACGTTCACTATTAAGAAATATGCGCCCCCACCCCACCCCCCTGGCACACACACAGGTTGTTCCACCTGGATGCCCACACTGGTTTCTAGCTTGGGGTAAGAGGAAAGGCATTTTAACAAAGGGCCCGATGGGCAGGCAGTCCTCTGCTGTGGGAGGTGGTTAACCTTCAACTTCCCAGCCCCTAGAAGGCAGTTTTCCTCTCCAGCAGGAAACCAGTATGTGAAACCTTAAACTTCTTGAAACCCATCCCGGATGTATTTTGAGAAGGAGGGGGGGGGTGCGCAACGCTAACCAGAAGAGAAGGGCCTGCCCCTCCAGTCCCCCCCCACACACACACACACCGACTCTAGTGAAAGGGTGTCTGCAGCAGTGAGAAGAATCTAAGGTGCATGCCCTGGTCTTTGCATTCCAGGGCTCCTGGAACTTTGTGGAGCCCCCTGGAAGCGCCCCCCCCCCCTTATTGATCATGCTGGAGGGCTGCATTCAAGAGAACAATGATTTGGCTTGTAAACGCCCGGGAAGAGCTGAATACTTCAGGCCGGAATGCTGCTGAGAGGCTAAGGGCATGCAAACTAGTTATGGGGGTGGCCACTTGCTACCCAGGGGAAGATCATCAATTCTGGAGCCGGAGACAGAGGGAGAAAAGTTAAGCTGTTTTATCTTTCCAAGTAGTACAAGTGGCCACCATCATCACCGAACTCCAGCGAGAGCCCTACCAGCTTCCGCCAAGGACTTCCAGCAGAACCGGTTCAGAAAACCATCTTTTTCACAGATCAACAAGCCATGGTTTCCAGCACATGGCGTGTGCACACACGCGCACACACACACACACACACAAACAACTTGTCTTCAACTAAAGGAAACGGCACTTTCTGTCCATTAAAAAGAGGGAGAGCCAAGGGGCGCGTGGGGGTAGGGGGTGGGGTGGAGAAAAACTTCCTTTACAAAAGCAGAGCAGAATGCAAAATTAGTCATTTTGAATAACCACATCTAAAGGGACTTCCTTTTTCTACACCACTGATCTCTCTGGGTTTGGGGGTGGTTCCCCCCCCACTTAGGGTTAAGTTGCAGTATGTTACTGGGGAGGGGGTGGAGTAGACGAATATTTTATCAAAAGTGGTATAAGACAAGATTTGTACTTGTCTGAATGCCACATAGACCTTGGTACAATGCTATGAGGAACTAACTGCTCAGTCATTTGGAGGTAAAAACAAACACGGGCCCAAGGACAACAATTGTAAAAAATCAAAGGCAGAGACATCTGGAGAAAAAACTTGGAACTCCCGTCATGGACACATTAAAATCCCCAAAACAGACAGCATCTTCCCTTCCATATCTGCCCAGCCTCCAGCAGTCCGGATGATTTAAAATAAAACCTTTCAATAGGAACAACAAGCCCTTGTTTCAAACTGACATTCCTATTCTCTCCCCCGCCCTCCCCGTAAGTAGGTCTGCTGGGGGAGACTGGGGACCCCCAAAGGGAAGGATGAAGTTCTCAGAAAATCAAACAGCCTCTCATCCCAACAGGAAAACGCTGCATCAACTAGTTGTCTACATTGTCTGCAGCCCCCGGCCCCTGCACCACACCACTACCTCTTGCACTTAAATTTCCCCAAAGAACTTGCCTACAGATTCACTAACTGTACAGGCTGCAGTTAATTTCAGAGTAGTAACAACAGCCCCTGCAAACAATCCAGCCCATCTAGTCCCAGAAAGATTCCGAGATTTCTCGCCCTCTCCTTGCCAGAGCAAGGAAACCCTTGCTTTGCTTCGCAACCTGCATGCGCTGAAAAAAGAGCAATTAAAAGTTGCCGATGAACCTCCAGGATGTTTCCAACCTTGTGATTATTAATTCTGAGGACTCAAAGCAGGTCCGTAATTCCCAGGAATCCCATATCCCCTTAATATTTCCAGGAGAACAAGAGAAAGCATCTAGTTTCGACAGCAAAATACCTAGATAGACAATGCCCAGAAATGTCTTTTCTCCAAGAGCCCCTGCTACCTTGACTTTTAACCCAAACTAGCCAAACCCTCTCGCACACATAACCAGCGTTCACAGGACCCGCTCCCTGTGATGAGTATTGTCACACAGCAATCCAACAACCATGCATCATTCCAGGGGACTTTTTCTTCTCGTTTCCACTTCCATTCCAGAATACCAAACTGGTCCAGGCTGTTAAGAAACATTGATCCCCAAGACACACCATCTTCCTCTTCCAGATCACAAAACCATGAACATTCAAAATCAAGATTTTAAAAAAGCACTGTTTTTAAGCCATGCTTCCCTAAATCTGCAATTAATGTTTTAAAAAAAATGGGGAGGGGAGGAGGGAATGGTTAGCAGAACAGCTTTATGTAAGCACTCACCTAAAACAGGCAGTCATCGGTAGCTAAGCTATTTATGCAGGATTCTTAAAATGGCGTCTGGCAGCACTGCCTCATTCCTGTGTCGAAGCTAAAATGGTAGCAGTTTGTTCAATAGCTGTGGCTGTTGTTTCAGCAGCCCTGCTAGTTTCAAAGCCACCTTCCTATATATCAGAACTAGGGAAAGCGCACCCGAAGGACACCATGCAAACGTTTAGAGGCTTTGGAGACACACACACACACACACACACACACACACACACACTCTGCAATGACAAGGAGAGCTTGTGAAGTCACAGGTTCCTAAGAAAAGTCCCTTCCCTTCGAGATCCTGGGTCTTCCACGGGAGGCTCGGTGGTGGGGCGCTTGCCCTGAAACAGGTGGGTGGAAGGTTAGGAGGGATGCGGCCCCCTTGGCATAACAGGCAGACAGGCAGACGTTCCCTCAACACCAAGATGTTACGGAAGCACACGCTGCGGAGGGGGGGGCAGGAAGCCCAGTTCCCCTTCTGGGGACATGAGAAACCAGCTTGACGTCCACCCCTCCCAAAAGTGCTGCAAGGACAGCAGGCACCCCAAAAGCCAAGGGCTGCCCCGGGTCTGAGGCCAAAGGAAAATAAAAGGGCTTGTGTACACGCCTGTCACCGGCCACCAAACACCCGGCCCTCCAAAGCTGCCTGAGAACTTCAAGGAAAAGACAAGCTGGTCTGCACAGGAGACACCCAAGGGAGCCGTGCCCATAAGCAAATGCACTGGATACTCACAAATGAAATTTTTGTCCACCCCCAACAGGGCCCTGAGAGTGAACCAGGGGGGGTGGTTTGCAAAACCCACTTTCAGGGGCTGAGAAACGCTAAGTGCCTATGTGGATCATGTCATTTACTGTCACCAGTTTTGGCCTCAGGACTTCTGTGGGTGCATTGGGGAGTTTCAAGGTGATTGCGTTTTAGCTCGAGGGGAGAAAGGAGGGCAGGGTGCCCAGGGCTGTGCCAGAGACAGGATGAGATGCTGGCATGGCGCCGGCCGGTGGGTAGGTAATCTTGATGGGGACAGACAGCCTGGCAGCGTGGTTAGCAGCAGAAGCTGCCATGGCTCAAGCCAGCTTGTTTGTCTGGAAG